CTCAGTGCAAGGGTCCTTACCCTTAGAGGCCTTCTTTTTCTGGGTGATCTCCTTTTGAATCTGATAGTATACACGATGGTCACTCCTGAACCTCTTCTGCATCTACCACGGTCAACCTGAAGATACCCTCACTACCTTGCCTAGTTCCTCACGGAGCTTGTCAAGAGCGAACATATCCTTCCGCCACTGCTGATCCAGCTCTACAGCATTGCCCACAGTATCGGAGTTCCGATACCTACGATTCAGCAATACTCCTTACCCTACGCTTCACTCAATTACCTCTTCTGCTCAGAAGCTCGGACAGCCTCCGGGTCGCCGCCCTTTTCTGCGCGAAGCTTGTTGATATCAATCGGCATGGTGAAAGGAGACTCTCAATGAGAAGAACTGAGCCGTTTACACCTTTCCATCCTTCACAGATGTGTTCACCAATTTCCAGAATCCATCACTAATTTTTATTCCAAAACGGTGAAAACCACTCTCGAAACGTAATCCGAGGGCTATAATGAGGGTTTGGAGTATAGTACATGAACCTCGACTAGCCCAGCATGGTAGCCGGTATGGCTCCACCACATTGTGTAGCTAAAGCATCGATTCTCCACAGTGATAGTCATCAATCGCTTCGCTCCGCTTGTCTCAACAACCGCGCACGCCTCTGCGTAAGATCCATTCGAACCCACCACGCGTCCCCCTCGACCTGATAGACTGGTCATTTTACGTTCCTATTATGCAAGATCATGTTAACCGCGATAGACATCTGTCCGTAATGATCGGTGATACGATATACGGCTTGCGTTGCAGGACCTTGCGATTCAAAGGAATGCCCAGCGTTTTCCCGAGAAACTTTCTCGCCTAAGTTGATGACCCCAGTTCATCCCCGACAAAACCAACTAGTAAGTAATATTCGCTGTACCATTCTCCAAAGGTTGCGCGACGCAACACGTCTCATTGGATCCTTCACGGATTTACCAGATGATGAAGTTGAGGTAACACATCTCAGATTCTGACGGGCCCGGTAGACTACTATACATACACAACACGCTAAGGGATATGAGAACTGCTGCTGTTGAGAGTATGATGAATTGATAAACCTGTCTATTCATTGCCCCGAGGGGCAAATTCAGTGCCGAACACGTCACGCAGAGTCTCCGCCCGTCGTGCCTCCTCCTCGTCCTCATCATCATACCCATCAGATGAGTCTGTATCGAATCTGGCATTCTCGCGACCATCCAGGTGCAGAACAACTCAGTTAGCTCACTCTTCCAGCGGCATCTCATACTTCCCATGCGTCCGACCATGCCCTGGACGAGGTCCATCAGCCCCACCCACAGAGCTGTAGCGAAGGCCACGGACATCTTCAACGCTCATCGGCAGGTTCCTCCCAAGTGTCTCAGGTAGGAACCGCAGAGTTAGACCCGCAGCGACTATGCACGGAATACCGAATATCTGAAAAGGACTGTCGTTGACGGCAGGTTGGGCAGCATGGGTTTTACAAAATCAGGCAGAGGTGACCAGAACCCACCAAGGGGCGGTATAAGGGGGGAAATGATACCAGCAATACGGGCCGCCAGAGACTGGATGCCCAAAGCTGAGCTACGAATGCTCGTAGGGAACAGCTCAGCACCATATCTGAGCACAGGGATATCGCGGCGAAGGCCAGCCAAGAAGACTCACATGTAGCACACTCCGAATGCGGCAGAGATGAAAAACTTGCCGATGAGGGCAATAGTGAGGGAGAGCCAATGAAGCCAGGTAAAGAAAGGGCACACCATACAGGCCACTCCTGCTGCTAGGAGATATATCACACTGATTGTGGATAAGTCATGATGACAGCAGCAATACGGCCACCTACAGAGTGAGCTTCCTTCCTGTAACGGCGTTATCAACCATGAAGTACATCACACCATAGGAGGGTATTTCAACCTGACAAGCCATGGAAGATCAATGATCATGAGCAGGGGATCATCCAGCTCTCAGACATAATGTTCCTGAAAGTCCAAAATTCGTTCCCTCCGGAAATATTTCAAGTTCGTCGATGACTCCCTGGTTATGAGGAACATACTATTGTCAACTACCAACCTCCTATTCTTACCAAGGCATTAAGGATAGAGTTCACATAAATATTCCCGCCGAGATTTCCGACATTCATCGACAGGCCGTAATACCCAAGACTCGACGCGAACCTGGAGGGAATCGAACTCACGACCCTCTGCGAGTGAGACTGCAACCTTACCACGCCACCACCATCACAGCCATAAACTCCTGTATGATATTCAGTCTGCTCCTCAGCAAGTAACCCCACAGGCCTTCGTCCACAGGCGAAGGACCGCCTCTTTCGCCTTCCTCTATCGAAAAATTCCCATCCGCGTCCGCCGTCAGCCTACCACAGGAGCTTGCCATACCACTTCTTTCACACATCATCCTTACTCATCATCCCACTTCCTCAAGAACGAGTCAAACTCAGCCAGTCTGTTGTTAACGATGGCGATCTTACGTAGACCCGCCTCAGCTTCACCGTGACGACCCTGGGCCTCGAGCCACACTGGCGATTCCAGGAAGCGGGTCAGCAGTAGGGCCGGCAGCACGCACGCCCAGCTGAGCATCCAAACCTAAGACACCCTACTATTTCCATCACCCCAATACCCGAGTAGGACCCACACTGAAAGAGAGCACCCTCCAGTGGATGCCAGGAATAGCTGCCAGGCCTGAGACCACCACTATACCTGGAAATCAAAGACGAGTATCCTACCACCAGCTCACGACCGAACAGGCGAGTACAACGAACTCCTATACAGAATGTATTCAATTTTATAATGTAATTTTTTATCATATAAAAAATTATAATAAAATAATTATAATAATTTTTATCCCCACACTAGTCTTTCCGCTTCCGCACATATCTAAGCCGTGAATCTACGACCAAGGACGATGAATGGCGCAAATTATAGAACTTCCACCAGTCATCCGATCTACCCCAAAATGACATACTCTCTGCGGTGTGGGAAAATATGCGCATGGTCAACTACATATGTTGGTTGCATTTGTGAAAAATTCCGAGGAAATTTGATTAAATTCCCATTGGATTCTGCATACTTCTACCAGAGTTTGTATGTAAACTTATATATTCAGTGAGGAAACTCCTGGACGCAGCTGAGGGAAGCGAAAATATATTTCAACACTATTCGGCTCGGGACAGGGATTCAGCCGTCGTGCTCACCGATAGCAAATATCGAGCTGGTGCCAACGCACACAAGACTCCTCCACTCTGGAGCAGTGACCTCTGCTGCCAAGACGTAGCTCGAGAGGCCAAGACCGCCAACACCGAGACCACCCCCAGCCTTGAAATTGCATATCTACAA